CCTCCGCCCCCTCCCTCCGCCTCCAGCAGCCCAGCTCTCCCCGGGACCTAACGCCACCACCACTCGACCGCCGCCGCCGCCACCGCATCCTCGGGACCCAAAGCTGCTTCGGGAGGAGCAGGTATGTCAGCGACCACCGCGCGCGCACCTGGCCACCGCGGTCCCACCTCCCCAACCGCGGCGGGCGTCGCAGCCTCACTCAGTTTCCCACCCGAGGGCGCTGGGTGCCTGTCGGCTCGTCCCCGCGGGGACCCGGAGACTGGACGTGTTGCGGACGCAGGGGAGGACAGGAGGGAGACACGTCCCCGGCGAGCCCGGCGAGGGTCGCACGCTGTCCGGCGGGCGGGGAGCCGGGCCTGAGTCCTTTCGCGGAGTGGGCGGGGCAAGGTGCGGCTGCAGAGGCGGCAACAGTGAAACTCCACCGGGGCCCAGGTTCCCAGCGGAGCGCTGCACACCCTCCAGGTGGGCCCGCGGGCTCCGGGTTCACCGAGGGGAAACAGGATTAGAGGGTGGAGCTGCTGGTGTGGGGCACCACGACGCGTGGCTGCTTGCAGATCTGAACCCAGGCAATCTGAGCTCAGAGCCTGACTGTGGTCTCCTGGGTCAGCCCAGCGCCTCTGGGGGACACCGAAGTACTGATGTGGGACCGGAGAGGAGCCAGATCCAGGTCCGAACCCGGTCTGTCTCTGACCTCATCCCAGGATTTTTATCTATCGCAAAGTCGAAATCTAGAGAACGTCACATCCCATAGATGTGCTGAGCACAGGGGGTGAGGGGCAGAGCTCAGAGCCTAGAGGAGGAAACTGAGGCACGAGTTTAAGGAGGAGACAGCAGACCACCAGAAACAAACAGCGCTCCCTTCTATCTGGGAGCAGTCAGTCAAGTGAGGTCCCTGGTGAGGACATGTCTGAAGGAACCTGCTGTGATTTAGACCAACTGCTAGCAAGCTAGTACAAGGATCCCTCCTCCTTCCTCTGAAATCTTCCAACTCTCGGCTCCCCAAAGGTAGCCACCTCCATCTGGGGTGTTTCTTCTAGACCTTTCTCAACATCTATATAGTCATATAGACAAGCCCATAGGAAATATGTAAAACACTTAGTAAGGTAGTGGGCATGTGATGGAAGTGATATAATCCATCCACACCACTGGACAATGGTGACTCTCCCCTACCCTCTTATTCCTTCCCAAATCATCCATAGTGCTGCATAAGCATCTAGCTCACCTATTTGAACTGTGGTATAGTTTGGGGTAGATGTATAGGTCCTCAAAAATTGGGCATGCTTTTTTCTATTCTTCTAAAAATTACCATTTCTGGTCAAGTTCAAGTTTTTGTTCTTTGTAACTGACCTCATAGTATATGAATTTGGAAGATGAGATCCCTTCTTCATTGTACACCCAGAAGCCATATATGTATACACATCACATGATGTAAGGCAGACCCCTAAGCACACATGCATACATATGTGCTTGTGCACAGACATGCAATCCCACCTCTGTTCTAGCTGTCCATGGTCAAGGGCAAACCCCACCTCTCTGCAGCTTCCAGGGAGCTCAAGGGCTAGGATGGAAAAGCTCTGCCAGTATCCAGTGGGCAGAGAGTACACCAAAGGTCATACCCAGGGGGTCTGTCTAGCTGTTACCAATGCCATTCTTGTCCTCTAACAGGAGACAGAGTGGTTAAGAACAATGGGCTAGAGGCTCAGTGGCTAAGAGCCCTTCCAGAGGACCCACCTCAGATGACTAACAACTGCCTGTAACTCCAGTTCTAGGGGATCCAGTGCCTCTGGCCACCACTGGCACCTGCACATACATGGCAAACACACAGACACATACACATACATATGAATTTATTTTGAAATCATGGTCTGACAGAGCAGAGTATCCAGCCTCCTCTTTGTGTGGCTCACAGTTTCTGGTCCAGATAGTAGTGTAAAGATACTCTGCCTTTGACGGTATGATAGGCCCTTCACAAGTTTGTACAGCCTGGCATGGTGATGCACTCCAGTCATCCCAGTACCTAAAGGCACAGGGAAACAGTGAGTTCAAAGCTAGCCTGGGCTACACGGCAAATGCTAGGCCAGTCAGGTTACATAGTAAGTTCCTGCCTCAAAAGACCAAATAAACAATAAGTAAACCTTGCTGGAATGCTCGATGGTGCTTGACAACAGCCAGGATCACAAAATGCTGAAGTCAGAGATGCTGGAGTTGTGATCCCAGCTCTGCCACGCCAGGTCAGGCAGATCCTGATCTCTGATCTATGGTTCACATCTGTTGAATAGGTTTAATGATAGTAGTTTCTCTAACCTGTCAAGTGAGCAGTGAGATGATAATTAAAATGGAGAGAGTCTTACCCTGGACAGGGGAGAGCATGAGATGGCCCTGTGGTGGAGGCAAGGTGATATTTCTGTTGTTGAGCACCAAGCTCAGCTCACAGCAAAGATTCAGCATGCTGTGGTACCAACAAAGGTCCTACTGAGCATCCAGCACTGAACTAGGATGCAGAAATGACTTCAGGTACCTATTTGAAAACCAGGAAACCACTGAAGTCACAGAGAAAGCTGTGGGCAGCTTTTATGAGGCACACACTCCATGTGTATGTATTTGTGTTCACATGTATATGTGCTCATATGTGCTGGTGGGCATGCACATGTGTGAATGTGTGTGAAGACCAAAGATGAACATCTGGACTTTTCATCCTCTCCATTTTTTTATGGAGGCAGAGTCTCTCACTAAACCTGGAGCTCAGTGATCTGGCTAGTCTGGATAGCAAGCTTGCCCTAGGATCCCGTCTCCACCTTCCCAGTGCTGGGATTACAGGTGACCCTCACGTCCCCCCAACTTTTATGCAGGCTCCCAGGATCTGAACACTAGCCCTCAAACTTCCATAGCAAATGCTCTATCTACTGACTCATCTCTCCAGTCCCGCCCTCTCCTTTTAGAATTGTAGATTAGTCCTGAGATATCACAGAAAATTCCAAGTTCTGGATCACCTGGAAAAATCAGAAAAGCTAGCATCTCCAGATGGCTTTTAGGCCAGGCAGGCAGCTCCAGGGCCCCACAGTGCCCACCTGGACCACTCTCATTCTTAACACAATGAAAAGTAACAAAGGGACTCTGCAGCCATCTCTATATCCCAGATGATTTGGATAAGGTCGCTTTTGTGTCTGCCTTGGAGGGTTATTTTGGGTGTTAAATGAGTCAATACACAATACACAATACACCAGAATGCTGCCTGGATATGGTAAATACAACCTCAGTATTACTGATAATGGCGATGATGTTAACTGCTGGTTCCTGTAACTGAGCATTGGCTCTCATGGTTGATCAGATAAAGTGCTAAAATGCTGCAACCCTGCACCCTTTTATCTGAGAATTAAAAGGGACAGCATTTCAACAGAAAGGTGCAAAGAGGAGGGAAACCTCAAAGGTGGGTTTTGAAGAATGAGCAGGAGGTCTGATGCAGGATAGAGGAAGGCATTCCACACAGAAGAAGCAGGCTTTATGAAACCAGGAGGTGTGACCGGTGAACTATGCCTAAGAAGTGACAAGGGATCCAGTGACAGACTAGCAATTTTTGTTTTTGTTTTTGTCTCTTTAGAGATGGGGTATCATAGCCCTTGCTAACCTGGAACTCCCTATCTTCCTGCCTTAGCCTCCTGAGTCCTGGGTTACATGTGTAGACCAACACACCTGGACAAATTTTTATCTTTAGGGCAGGGCCTATGCATATGAGGCTACTCTGTCCCTGTTCTTCACTAGAGCTTTGGACAGGATGTGCAGATGGGATCTACTCTTGATTAGGATCCCCTCTGCAGGATATGACCATCCCCAACCTTGTCACAACTTGAGCCCTGCTTTTTGTAGAACCATGGTGTATCACACTGCTCAGGACTTATGCCTGGACTTGAATTCTCATGGTGGTCAAAGGAAAAAAAAACACATAGACAGCCTTCAGCCATAAGACAGCTCTATGTATAGGCTGTTTGTTTGTTTATGACAAGGTCTCACTATATAGCCCTGACTGGCCTGGAACTTGCTATGTAGACCAGGCTAGCTTCAAATTCACAGAGATCTGCCTGCTTCAACCTCCAAGAGTATGTGGATTAAAGGTTTGCACCACCATGTCCAGCCTCTGTGGTTCTTTTTGTTGTTGTTGTTGTTGTTTTGCTTTTTGAAACAGAGTCTCGCTATATAGTCCTGGTTGGCTGGGAACTTGCTATGTAGAACAGGCTGGCTTTGAACTTGTGGCAATCCTCCTGCTTCTACCTCCCAAGTGCTGGGATTAAAGGCATGTGCCACCACACGTCAGAACAGTTTTTTTTATGGGGTGGGGGGTGGAGGTGGGGCAGGCCTTTAGCTTCTCAAGGTATTCCTAATTCCTCACTTGAAAATATCTCCTTAAAATTCCCATTTTGTCCTAGGCAGGTGGGAAGTGTCAGCTAGAAAGGAGGGCAAGTCTTACAGGAAAAGAAATGCCAGGAATTCAGCAGCTTTCTGATCATAAGGAATGCTTTCTCCTCATCTCCAGGGCAGAGAGGGACAAGGATCTGCCATCATATACCCTCCAGTTTAGGTTCTTGCCAAGGATAGAATTCTCGGCTTCTACCCTCTCATCTAGCGTGTAGTAGATGTGAGTGGTGGGAGATTTTTGTGTATTCCATATAGAACATCTTTATCATCTTTATACCCCCTTCAAGGGCACACTGCCTGTGTCCTCTAGTCAGGCCCCATTCCTAAAGCTCTCATCCTTTCCCCACGGCTCCAAGAGTCTGGGCATCAATTCCTTCAGCAAATGATTCTTGGGGGACACTGTAAATCCCTTACACCCATCAATGCTTTTGATGCTCACTCCCTGAATCTGTCCTCCCACCTGTAATTTACCCAACAGATACCCTTGCATCCAACACACATCAGAACAAAACTACCTCACACCATATGGAAGAGCAAATGGTTGGAAACTCCCCTAATGTCCCTGAAAACAAAACTGACTATGGCAGAGGTCAGAGCAGCTACACAAGAGAATATGATTCAGCCATGAAAAAGAAAGCTGAAGCTCTTTATAAACAAATGCAAAACTATGTCCCAGGTATAGCTAAAAGGAAAATGTATAGTATAGAATAG